ACATCAAGAATAGCTTGTCATGTACTTGAAGCAACTGTCAAGGTATGTTCTATGAATCACTCCCTCTCTTCTTCTGCGGAAAAACTGAAAATGTTTAGTCACATGGATGCATGATGAAGAAAGCTTGTCCTGTGGCAAACTGAAAAAGTTTGGAACTTTGAACTTCAATATGACATGATCCAAATGGAAATGATGGAAGGGATGAAGTAGATTATAAGAGAATAATGGAAGTGTGAAGTGCCTAGATTTGGTCCATCCTCTTCCAGATAGAAAAAGAGATTTAAACTAAAAAATGTGAAATGTGATTATCCATGATTCATGCAGAAGAGGTTTTCTTTTTTTAAAAAAGTTAATGGCATTGCCTATGAATTTTGATACTTCCGAGTTTTTTTTGGATAACGAGGGCCAGCGGCGCACGGTTTGAAACTCGGTGAATAGTGGACCCGCCCCTCTACCCTTCTCCACTTAAATATAGGCGTTTGTATGTTCTTTTTGCATAGTCCTATCAGGTCATCTTTCTTGGATTAACCAAATTGCCCGTCCACTTTCATGATCTTTTTAGTGTGTATTTTTTGTTTTGATCTATTTTTTTAATTACTCATTTCAATGATCATAATCCATGTTTGTTATTGTATAAAAGATCAACTTTAGAGCTAGTAACTATATATCTACACTAATCACCTATCTAGAATTTTCAATGTCATCTCTCATATCTTTGGTTACCCTCTTGAACAGAAGAGTGATGAACAAAAAGACAGAGAGAGAACTATCTAATGTGCAAAAGGTTTTGGTTTCCTCCAGGGCAGAGGTTACTCTTTAGCTGCTGATATCCAGTATGTTGATGCAAGGTGGAAGATACCTGTTGTTCTTCCCCTCCGTGATTGTCTTATTCATGAGTTGAATATGCTTTGCAGCCTTGACAGGTTTGTTGCACTTGAAATCTAAGATTTAAAACAAATTTAAGTCTGATTTGGCATTTAGATATCCTATTTTTCTTGCAATCTCGTGTAATTTCTGAATCTGATTATTTGATTTCTTTTTGCCCTTTCCTTGTGTGTCAAAACCATTACTTCATGGTGGGCCTCAACGTACTTTGCCAGGGCAGTTTGATGACTGTGGAAGTTTTTAACGGAACACGTGCTGGTATCAATGGCTTGGTCTCCTCATTTGTGAAATTGTTGCAGGTAAATGCAGGTTAACTGTATTGGTTTAATTTAAGTTATGTGGTCCCATGGACAGTGCAACTGGCGTTTAATGCAAGGAAAAGATTGTAGATATATAAGAAATTAAAAATTGGAATATTATAATATAACAATGCACTCATTAGCTGAAATATATTCAGCCTGCCAAGACACATGCTTTTAAAACTTGAATTTTGGTTCATGGTTAATATTGAGCTTTTAAAACTTGAATCTTGGTTCATGGTTAATATTGTAGTATTGCTGGTTACTTTAACAAGAAGGAAAAATATTAGGGAAAAGAAATTATTTTATTAAAGAGCTCCTAACTTGTTATTGTGAAAACTGCATCTATTCAGTTATCCTATATGTTTGTTGTTCTAGTCATGAATACTGGAACTTGAAAGCCTTGCACATGAAAAATTCAAAGTAACTTTTACTTTTCAGGAGGAAAACCCTTCCCGCGAAAGCACAATCATGAGAACAGCTGGAAAGCTGACACCTTTTCATTTCAATAGAATGTCAGAGGACAATAACTATAACGATCAGGTGGCATCTCAAAGAAGGCAAAAGAAATACAGCCTGAAAACTAACGATGCCCTTCCTCCCGAGTCATTCTGTCCTATTTGCAGTAGTCCTCTAAAAATATCCACCTTCGGAACATCAATTAGTTTTGACAATGCGAAAACTAGTCTCGATGCGATTGGGGCTGCATGCTGTGCAAGTTGTCATTTTCAGGTTCTTCCCAAGGACCCGTTATCTCTGGAGCACTTCATTTCTCTCTTGCCACCATCAATGGTTTTCCAAGCAGAGGATGGTGATCATCTAAGTCAGAGACAGCTAAGGTATGAAAATTTATTTGGTGTTCTTATTTCTGACACATTAGCTTACTTTTGGAAAATCATTCTGTAGCTGCAGATGGCTTGAACAAAGGCGATGTCATGGATCTTTAGATGGACAATGCCTTTTGAAATTAGCTTCCATTTATGCTCCTTTCAAGATTTTCCTCACAATTTCACTGTTATTGCTTAGAGAATAGTGTCCTCTGTTTTCTTCTTTGGGCTGCCCCAGGATCCAACATTTCAACTTTAGAGATGTTTTTGGAACTAGTTCTTTTAATTTGTATTAATGAAAGCTTTATCTCCGTTTCTAGTCCTAGTCTAAAACTTAGGACGCTTATCTTTCAAGTTTAATTGCCTTGTTTTCAGGGAGCAAATAGAAGACTGCTTGCTCTCAGACAACGAAGACTGAGCATGATCCTGCTGATTAGTTTTGCAAAGCATCCGACTGCTGCATTAAAACACAAATCAAGGTTTGGTCTCAATTCACCATTATGTCAACTAAAGAATAATAGTTTGTTACTAGAGCCTGGAGGAGCAAGAAAAAAATGAAAGATGTAGGTATGGTTTTGAGATTATGTCGATGTTCCCATTTCTATAAATATCAGTACACCATGTTATGGTAGAGTTGGCCACTCGGCTGATGCCGCCTTGGGTACAGTGTTACAGAAAAATCATCTGCTGTCAAATTCTCTTTGTTTTTTCAATCTGTTTTCTAAGTGGGCTATGTTACAGAAAAGTTAAGTAACATTTCATGCCCTTTAGTTTTGGTTTAGCGCCTAGGCTACGTTGCAATATTTCTCACACTTTTTTTTTACATGTTGGAAGATAGCCTGCAAAGTGAAAGTGTGTGTATTATTGTATAAGTT